AAGGCTGTTTCCACTGTTGTACTCTTATGTGTTGATGTTTTTGCAGAATGTATTCTCAGTCATGATTTTCCACCCTGCCGCTTGTTTTTCTGTCGTACTATGTATGGCCTCAGGTATATCCCGCTTGGTAGAGGGCCGAAGACTGGGCTCATGAGGTGGTCCAAGAAAGGAGGGACCGGAAAGAACGAGAACTTCCACGGTGGCATCAACCGCCTGGTGAACGGCGTGGCTCGGCTCGGTGCGGAAGCGTGCGATGCGAGGCTGCTGCAACGCATTCATCGTCACAACCACGACATGGACCGAAAGCTTGGCCGCACCAGCAAGCAGTCTACCCTGTGGGTCTGGAGGGAGCGTAAGGCGAACGCTGCAGCCGAGTCGATCCTCACTTCGCGCCCGTTCCCCCGAGCGGGTGACACTCCGACGGTGAGCCCCAGTTGTATACTCATGGGAGGACACTTTCAACGTCGAGGGATTCTGCATTCTTAGCCTTCATTTGTTTATGTGCCGTCGGTGCCGTGAATTTTGGTACGCCCACCCCTATCCATATGACGCGAGCTCTCTGACGTTTGTGCGTCACCCTATTGGATGACTCATTTCAGGTGGCCGCGGAGGACTTTGAGCCTATGGGTACGCCGAACAGAGGAGAGCCAACGCTCTGACAAACGCAAAAACCGCCGCGGCGAACTCGCTAGTCAACACCCGTACTTCTCTGCCGTCGACGACGGCAGGAGATACCAGCCGGGCGGGGGCCGCGGCCGTCGGGGCAGGAGCGGGGGCTCCGGCGGGGACCGCGTTGGGTGCATGTGCGATGGTGATGCCGTTGCCGTTGACCAACAGAGGAGGTCGGCCGGGAGCGGCGGCGCTCATGCCGTCGACGATAGCGACAGGTTCTTCCGCCGGTGCGGGGGCCGTGCCGCCACTGCTGTTGCCGCCAACGGCGACAGGAGGGGCTGCCGAGGGGGCGGGGGCCGTCCCGCCGCTGTTGTTGCCGTCAACGACGACAGGAGTTGCTGCCGAGGGCGCTGCGGGTACCAGTGGCGGCGGGGTGATCGGAGGTGCGACCAGCAGGACCTACCGCAGCAACGCTGGAGAAGCCGCCGCCCAGGACATCTCGCGCGGTAACTACGGAGGGGGGCGGCGTTTGCCTTCAAGGCACCCGACCCTGGAGAGGGTTAAAGCGTTGACTCCGACAAGTGATGCAGAGCTGGAGGCCTTTGCCACCTGTCTCGCGGAAGCGACGATGGTCTGAGACGGGAAGAGCCAGGTGATGGCCGAGGCGACGAAACGTTACAACGCAAAGTATTGCAGACAAGCACTTACGGGTGGCGCGCCGAAACTTCTCCGTGCGCCTACTACGGTAGAGAAGGCGCGAAAACGATCCAAGATAGCGGCCAAGGCAGGAAGGGACCGAGATGCCGCCGCCGACCTCGCAGCCGTGAACGAGATATCTCGAGTCAGGACGTCCTCTGCTTCGACTTCTACTTCGACACCGCCGCCAGCATCGAAGCGCGCCAGAGGGGACAGAGATAGAGCGAGTGAAAGAGTCGCTAGCAGGGTGCCTTTGAAGCTTGAACAGATCAGCACCCTCACGGACGCAGCCGCGATCGCCTACATGAAAGCCATAGGGTTGAAGTTGACAGGCAATGTTGCACTCAAGCGGAAGAAACTATCCGACTTTTTCGAAAGCAAGAATATTTCAGAGTACAGGTACTCTCCGTCAAGGTCTGCGACATCGCCCGCGCCCGCCGTAGGACCCGCCAGTGGGCACATGTCAATCTGAGGGTTGGGGACTCGAAATATCTGCTGGTGTTGAGTTGGTGTAGATGTATTTATCGGCGGGGCCTGCTCTTTCTCCACCTTTGATCCAGACAACTAAATATTATTTATGATTCCATGCGTGGACCGTCAAGGGTGATGGCTCTGTCCTCCTCTGTGCGTTTTGTTGTCTGGCGTATGTATTTGCCTCCTGCGTGGGAGACGGGAAAGATATGCCGTTCGTCTCGTCCCGAACGACCGGTACGGATGGAGTAGACTTGTTTTCGCCACGCCGAGCACGGATGGAAGAAACAAGTAAAAAAATATGATACTCGGAGTGCATATGATACCCCGAGTCTATCATGATGTGGAACACTGCAAACGCACAAAGGGCAAGAGCTTTTAGATTTCCTCCGCTCGGCTCTCGTGGTTGGCATGACGCAGACACGCTCACTTTTGTGTACACAACCTCCAGTCAGAGAGGTGCGGGACGTAACCGTGTGCGGCAAGCAGGCGTGCCGGACTTCAAGCAAACAAGAAACGAAACAGCACACCTCGGCAGCAACATGTACAACAGCACGAACAGATCTTGCTCTGTTGCTGTATCATATGCAGAGTCCAACCAACACAGACGCACAGCAGTACAATAGTAGAGTTCTTCTACAACCACACCTCACAACACAACTCCGCTCTCGTATAGACTAGTCTACATCTAGACTTTATACCTCACAACACAACTCCGCTCTCGTGCATTCTCAAATCACCAACTAACTACTGCGGCTGCAGACTTTTCCAGCTCGGCCACTCGAATATGATCCACACAGCAGCAGCAGCTTCAATCGCACGCACACATACCTAGCGCCCACAGCTACACATACTGGAATACAAGACACAGCTGCCGTTGGTTATTTCCTGTCCCTCTGATATTACGGCGAGATTTTGCTGACATTGAGCGATTTGGTGCGGCGAGCTCAAAGTGTTTTTTTTTTTCTTGCCCCAAAATTGTGGCATGCCCCAAAATGCCCCAATGCCCCAAAATTACTTGAAAATCGGATGCACAGTGGCTCATTTTGCCCCTCTCAGAAGGAGCGCGAGGTGGCGGCGTCTCCGACGAACGAGCAGGAGCGGACGAGGACAGCGACTCCGGAGTTTTCGGTGACTTTGGGTCTTCCGGCTGGTGCTGAAGACGGGGCATCGTTTGCGGCGGCAACCACGGTGTGCGAGTTCCACGCGGGAGATACAGCGTTCCTGTCCCGCCCGCTAGAGATGCCTGCAGAAGGTGTCACCTTCCACGACGAAGATAAATTGGCAGCTCTTTTTGCATGGGCTGGCATCAAACAACTTGTCCGTGCACAATTCCCCCCACCGCACACCGTTGCTGTCGGGCACATCTACCACACACCATACCTCGAGAAACTTCCGCCTTCTTCGCGGCAGTCCGTGTTCCAGCTGTTATTCGCTCTCCGTCGTGCCACCTTTCATGAAGGTCCTCAAGGAACGTCGGTGGTGACCCAGGAGGGAGGACTCCAGCTGCCTTTTGCTCGTGCTGCTTCGGCCAACGACTTCAAGCACGATCTACAAGCCCCCCGGCAGGCCTCGTCACGCCCTGCACATGGTTCTGGGGAAAACAAGGATTTCAGTAGGTCGGCGGCTCCGGTGTCCAAGAGCTGGAAGAACCATTGGGGCGACCGGGATTCGACGGCCAAGAGCAGGACGCACGACCACCACCGCTTCACGCAGTCTTCGCGTGGGCGCGGCGTCGGAGATAACAGGCGAGAGCGAACCGTGGGGAACCAGCCTACGAGGTCTTCGCCGGCGAGTCGCCATCGCCGGAGCAGGAGTCGGAGCGCAGAGCGACAACAGCGGACCAATCCTTCGTCTAGGCGTGGGCGCAGCCGGAGCGGAGACGGTCGTGGGAGAAACACGCCTCCGTCTAGGCGTAGCCGTAGCCGGAGCCAGAACCAGAGCGGGGGCAATAGCAGGGCGACCAGCACTGACAGCAGTCGCGGTGGGAAAGGGCGACGGAGGTCAGGCCACGGTAACAGGCAAGTGATGTATGATCGAGGTGATTTTCGTAGCTCTGGGTTGTTGGGGGAAAGCAAGGATGCTTCAGAAGACGGTTCTCTCTGTTCTTCACCGCTTGCTCTACGCCCTCCCGCTGATGTAGGCCAACCGACCAGGTCTTCTTTGGCTTTCAAACTTGCCAACATGCAACTTCGTGAACGTTCAGCCGCTGTGAAAAGCCATGCCCCTGCCCATGCCGCTATGGATCATCCCACATCTTCCTTGCCTTTGGACGAACCTGTTGAGTCACCACGCCATGCTGCATCACACGCCTCGACTTCGGCCTCCCGTACTGAAATGCTGTTGGAACAAGTACTCACTCTCCTGCGAGCAAATCAAGTAGTGGATGCTGCTGCCGACGCGAATGTACAACCTCCTGTGCCCCCCCACGCTCCTAGCGTGCCACCACCTGCCCCATCTTCGTCCCCACCAATGCGTCCGGCGCCGATGCAAGACCACGCTTCGATTTCGGGAGCTTNGAGTCACCACGCCATGCTGCATCACACGCCTCGACTTCGGCCTCCCGTACCGAAATGCTGTTGGAACAAGTCCTCACTCTCCTGCGAGCAAATCAAGTAGTGGATGCTGCTGCCGACGCGAATGTACAACCTCCTGTGCCCCCCCACGCTCCTAGCGTGCCACCACCTGCCCCATCTTCTTCCCCACCAACGCGTCCGACACCGATGCAAGACCACGCTTCGAGCTTTTCGGGAGCTCCTGTGGAACGCGATGTTCGTGCCGAAACCGCTGCCAGGACCACGCCAGCATCATCGTCATCAGCCACGAGGTCGGCGACAGTACCGGTCGAGCCTGCGGTGGCACCGTCAGCGTCGACAGCCCCAGCCCTGTTGCAACAGCCTTTGGTGGTATCGCCCCCCCCCCTCCAGCGTGCGTCTGTTCTGATTGATCCTGACTCTGCAACCGGCCACATCGTCGAGCCACCGAGTCAAGCGGCATCACCGGTGCCACAGGACGATGCTGGGTTGCCTTTGTCTTCCACGGGAGCGAGAGCGAGACAGGAGGCTCTGAAAGCTGCGGACGCCGCTGCAGCGGAGGCCGACACCATCCGCATTCAAGACAAGATGGACAAGCTGAAGCCGGAACAACTTGATAGTGTCACACGCTTGCCCCTCGGTCCTGATCCTGATGAATTTGCTCGCTTCGCGTCTAGCTGCAAGGGTGTGGTCACAGAGATCCTCAACAAAAGCGACGTCAAGCGCAAGCAGACTTTCAATTCCTCCACCTGGGTCACCGGATGGCTTCCGTTGTTGCGCAAACGTGTCCGTGCTGCTGTCGTTGAAGGCCAAACCACCAACCGTGCCACTCTGGAATTTCTTGATGCCACCTTCCTACAGGTAGAAAACCATCTGCGCAAGGAACCGGCAGGGCCCTCGACGTACGCCTTCTTCATCCAGAAATTGGCGGCCGCCTGGGACACTCAAGACAAGAGCTCGGGGATTGATCGTCTTCGCAGTTTTGGCGTATCCAACGGCGAGACTTACGGAGAATACATCCGTCGCTATAAGGCTCTGGCCATGACCGTCATGGTTTCCCACCACGCGTTCAAGTCTTCGGATGCGCAAGTGCAGATAGCTGTTCGAGACTCCATGTTGAAGCAGCTTACGGTAGTGTCCTGGCAGGTGTACAAGGATGAGCAGCTCTCAATGGAAGCCCCTTTTGGGCGACATGCTTCATGTCTGGATGATATGTGGGATTTGTTGGACAAGCTTGCGTTCGCGCACACGCCGGCGGTACATGGAGATGATTTCTTTTGGGTATCTTCCACGAATGCTTGGAGTTCGTCTGCTGTTTCGCGTGCTGTAACTTCTTCGGCGTTGCGTTCGACGGTGACCCCTTCGTGGAGCCAAGGTTCTTCGGCCGCCGTGATGAGTGTTGACCCTCTACCTAATGATGATCGGGACTCTTTTCTGTTGCACTACAGCGACTGGCCGTTGCAAGGACACTTCCAAAAGGTGTACAACGTCGCTAGTGAGATGGCTCTAACCAAGAATGATCCGCCATTGTTCACCCCCTTGGTCTCGGCTGAAGAGCGCCGCAACGCGCTTCGACTGTACAAGGGCAAGTGCCTCAACTGCTTGGGAGAAGACCACTCCTTCAAATCCTGTAATCGTGGTTTCGTGAACGCCACCGGCCTGCTTAACAATGACATCAAGTTCTGTATGGAAAAAGATCCCACCCTTTGGGATCGGTGGAAAAAGCGCATGACCTCGTATAGACACCCTACAGGACGCAACCCACACCGAAAACACCCTTTAGGACGCGCCCGCCGCTCATCTGACACATCGGACACGAAACAATCCTCACACACAGAGCACTAGTCAGACGCTTCCACTTCGACTAAAAGGGGCTGGAGGGGTAAGAAATGACAAGCCGATGGCGGAGTTCAGCCGGTACTACCGTC